ATGTAAAATTGTGTTCAGTTTATAATTTAATACATGAAAATGTTATCTAAAATGGAAGCAAATTCATAGAGAGTTATATAAAATAATGTAAATAATAATGCAGGTAATTTAATAATACGTTTATTGCTCTAGTTTCTACCTAAAGGTCCTTATAATAGAGACTGCGTCGCAAGGTCAGCAACCTCAGTTTGGAAGTCTTACGTCAACATGAAGTGAATTTTGTTTAAAACTTTAATACCATGTAATGTTATCTGCAACCATCTAATTTAAAACTAATTAAACGATTTTTACCCGTATATTTAGTGGCTTTACGCATGCATACCTAAACTACAATTATTTTACAAATTCCCAACTGTCAATAAACGCACGTGAAAGCCAAACAGGGTCGTACTGAGGTGTATCATATGATTTTTTAAAATATTTACTTTTGAAACTATTAGTGTAAGAATTTCTTGAAATTTAATCTTTGTGAGCAAAATTTAATGTTCCGTTGACGAAAAATGTGCTAAAAGAAAATATTCATTAACTGAGAGATACATAACAAGGTGAACATTTTGAATATAGTAGCATTGTCATAAGTTTATCAAAGCATACCATTTAAATTACTCAGAGTCTGAAGAGCTATATGTGCTGCTGTCTTCGTTTGGTTGTATTATTATGGGTCCGATATGGTTCTCTATTATATTGTCCAACTTGCACATTTTGGACTCGACTTTTTGTTGAACGTGTTGCACTTCTGCATTTCTGCCACGTAGTTAGACTAATATTATTTATTGCATCATAAAAAATACTTTTCATATCTGCAAATTTAAAAGTAGTGTTTTTGACTGCTACGTAATTTTTTACTTCTGCCCAGATGAGCTCAATCAGATTGAGCTGATAATGGTATGGTGGCAGCCTTAACACTACTTTGTTTTGGCTTTTTGCCATCTCATCAATGATATATTTATTATATTGTCCTTTATGTTCATAACTATAGCCAGCAGTTGCACTTTTAACGTGGAGTCCTCAAACCATATATTTTTTATTTCAGCCACGCCTGGATGTCAGCTTTTCCAGAAGCAGTTGTTGGAATTTTTTCCAATTTTCTGGAATGATAAGACGCGTTGTCCAATACGATGATGGAGTTGTCTTCTAATCGGGACGGTATATTTTTGAACCAATTTTCGAAAGATTTCCCGTCTACCTCTTCATGGTAGTCCCCATTTTTTTTTTATTCAAACACCCACAACCCTTCTGGAACAAAACCCATCTTCACTTTTCCTGAAAATTTTATTATTTTAAAACTGACTGAAGTGAAAAAGCACATAAACATTTACCTGCAGTTACATAATTGTGCCGATGTGTGTTTTTGCTCTAGGGATGAGTTTCACCCATTCGCAAGGATGAAAAAACATACTGTCAAAATAAGTCAGGAATTGGATAGACTGACAAATTCTAGGCAACCTTTGTTCTATAGAGTTTTTTTACTGAGTCAATACTTTTGGAGGTGTTTGCGAGTGAATATGTTCATTTTTCAACAACAAAAAAACGAGGTTTTTAACGGTTTTTGCAAAAAACTCAAAAATTAAGTATTGTATCGAAAAAATATTCTTAAACCGTCTAAAAACGCGTTTTTTTTTATTAAAAAATGATCATATTCACTCGAAAATAACTCGATAAGTATTGACTTTGTGAAAAACCTGTATAAATAAAATTGCTTAGAATTAGTTAGTTTATTTAGTTCTGGACTTATTTTTAACGCATGCTTTTTCACACCCGAGAAGGAGTGAAACTCACCCTCATGTAAAAAGAACACATCGGCACGATATCGCTTTTTTTCTTTGCCGTTAGCTATGTATATGCCAAATTTCATGTGATTCCAAGCGGTTCTTTAATATTTACAGCAAAAATCGTAAATAAATGGACTAAAAAGGAAATAAAACTTTTCGAAACATCAATAAATTAAAATATTGGTTTTTCTTACCTTTATTAAAGTGATTACCGCAAGGTATTTTTACTTTTGATTAACAAATACTTTGGTTTTGGATACTAAAAGTTTACTACACACTATAAAACGTAATACTAAACACAACTAAACTCTAAAAAGATGACACGACCAGTAAATAACTTAACAATAACTATAACATAGAAACGCTACAATTTGAATTTAAACAGGTTGGCAAGTTTGGACCTGTAAAATTAGAATCCGCCTGCTTAAGCAATAAATTATATTTAATAGCCTCTTGACGAATAAGACGGCGAATATCAACAGGTGCGTTTGTTTACAGTTGGGAATTTGCTGAACAAATGTACTTTAGGAAAAGCACCGATGATGGAATAGTCATTCCGAAAACGTCTGTGATGTAGCCCGAAAGGGTTTTTTTAAGTAAATACCTTTTTATAAAGGATTTTTAATTAAAATTTTTGTGGTTTATGGCATACAGCCGACTACATACAGGAAATTCATTTTTCTTGTGGATAGAGTAATATATTCTCTTATCGTAGCTTTGAAACTGTGGATGATAGCCTTAAACTGTCATGTATTCCCAACTTTGTTATATAGAATACAAAGCTGTTAAAATATGTTGAAAGTATTTGAAATATGATGTTACAGGCAAATTCAAAAGATACCATGGATTTAACGAAATACATTTACCATTTTTATTGGGAATAAGCCACAATTTAAGTTTAGTATTACCTACATTTAGTAGTTTATTTTTTGACTTTTCAATTTCCATGGTGGATATATGTGGATGATGCATTCTCAATATGGCCTTATGGATCAAAGTTGGACTCATTCCCGAATAATATAAGCGATAAAGAAGAGACAATTACATTTACCATGGAAAAGGAATATAATAACACATTACCTTTGCTAAATGTTTTAATATCTAAGAATAATACTGGATATGGGACTCAGGTGTATAGAAAACCAAAACACACCAACAGATATCTAAAGAACAAATCAAATTACAACGTCAATATTAAAAAGGAAATCATTAAATTCTTATAAGATAGAGCCAAAGTTACTTGCTCTAACGAAAATTCGTTCTTAGACCAGAAACATTTGTTAATATCTATTTTATTAAAAAATTATTATTTTTTATCGTTTATAAATAAGGAATTTTCCACAATAATAATATAATATACCATAATACGATGGAAATAACAATACTATAGATAAACATTCAAAACAGCAAACACATTGAGATCTATTTTAGGTAAAACTAAACTTAATAATGAATAAGAAAGAAAAAAGAATTGTATTTATGAAATACTTTGTGAATGTGATCATTTTTATCTAGGTAAAACATTAAGAACATTAAATGTTAGAATAAGTAAACATAAATCTTATATTAAAAATAGAGAATTTGATAGATTTCAAATATGTAAACACTCATGGGAAAATGAACATAGGGTTCAATGGAACGATTCAAGTATGACTAAAATAAACAAATAATAAAAAGAGAAAAATCAAAGAAGCGGCTCTAATGATGCTAAATGCGTCGCAAATTCCTCGCCAGAATGCAGTAGCATCTGGTTAACTATATTAAAAGTGGAAGTCAATAAAAGGAAAATACCATTATTAGTAAGTCGAAGTAACATATCGAGGATACATCATTTATGTTTTTAAATAACATACATATATTAGAGTTTGGTGTTTATTGAGAGTAAACTAAATGTAAGACCAAATACTTACCATGTCGGCATAGTATTATGAAGTTTTTTTCCTGGTTTTTCCCTCATAATTTACTATGGAATCACTAATAAGAGAATTTCACTGTCATCATTGCATGTGGTTGTCTTTTTAAAGAGAAATCAGATGCTACGATTCTTCTGACAGATATTCTCAAGTTAAAGTTGATTTCATGTAATGGAATGAACTATTTTACAATAAGTCGTCCCAGGAACGCAACTCAGCAATATTGGCAATATCATCAAGTCGTCTACTTATAATGTATAACATGTCTGAATTGTCAATATGAATAAGTCAGATAAAATTAAATCATTAGAAGAATTTTTCAACAAGTAACAAAAAACAAAATTTGTTTTTGTATTAGTAATGTTTAGTATTTTAAAAACGCGTTTCGAAGTAGACCTTGAAACGTCAAAAAATAAAGTTATTTTAGACTTAAATTGAGGCTTCCTAAGGATGGCTGTTGCATGTTTGATTCAGATTAGAGGAGTATATCCGAGCCCATTTCCCCTTAGAAGGAGGTTCTGCAAACGGATGTTTTCCTGTTATCTTGCCTACTAACTAAAACCACTTTCTTCTACGACCACTATGCACATTTGACTATCGCACGTACCATACTCTAAAAGCAGGATAGCCGCTGTGAGGCTGACGAAACTATCTTTGTAGTAGTCTAGTTGCTGCTTCTCTTCTTCTTTGTTCTTAATGACTGGACGAATGTAATTGTGCACTCTATTTCATCCCTTCTTACTTCCCGTAATTTTCGCGATCATATCTTTCACAATCACAGGTTTCTATGCATTCTGTTTCTCTCTAGTGTCCCTCTATTAGACTTCAGCATTGTGTAAGTAACAGGTACGGAGTATTCGTAGTATGGGCATTTGTCCGTATCTGCCTTTCCGAATATATAAAAATAAGCCGTAAAACACCCGTGTCCTGTGAGCACTTTCCTCAGGAAGAAAATTCAGTCGCCTGTGACCCACAGTCCACCCGAGATCAGCATCTTAGTCCACTGGGCAACATCTTCCGTCTTCTTCTTATCATCTTTCTCTTTTTTCTTTTCTTATGGGTGTAGTCCAATGATCTCTTCTCTCCTAGAGAGGTCTTCTTTTTACTACTAACACATGCAGAGAAACACAACCTGTGATAGTCCACAAGGCCGCCGCAAATACAGTCCTATAGGCGCATGCTACTCGCAGCAGACTCGTTCTCTCGTTATGTTTATTCCTAATCATTAAAAATTATTTACATTTCAAAATGTTTAAAATGCATTCACGTTATCTACTTCTCCTCAAACTCCGCCCAACAAGTAAAACAACAGTTTATATAAAAAGTAGTCTTTATTTAAAATCTAAATACAAAACAATACAACATTTTTAACACTTATAATTCAACATGTTTATCATTCCAGTACTTGCTGATCATCACTCCCGCTTTATAACCAATCATCATGGTGGGGGCATGCGTGTTAGCACTGACTATTTTTGGCATAATACTAGCATCAGCCACTCTTAAGTTATCGATTCCAAAAACTCTCAGCTCTGGATCAACTACAGCAGTTCCATCGTCTGAGGGTCCCATCTTACAGGTTCCCGTGGGGTGGTAGACAGTTGTAGTGTGATATCTTAGAGAGCACTTCCAGTAGTCGTCTGAACGGAATTCAAATTTGTTACATTCTGGAAGATCTAGCTGCGTTATACGTGGATCATGCTCTTTCAGTGGGGAAGTTTCTAATAATTTTTCCAAAAACCTGAAATTACAATTTAGTTTTACTATTGTTGATGGAAATAAGATGAAGAATATCACAAAAATCATATAAAACGATTTCCGAAGTGGAAATTGAACGTACTTTAACCTTTAATTGTGGCTTATTCCCATTTAAATAGTAATTACTTAGGGAGATCAAGTAATAACTAAGGTATTTTAAATAAATTTTAACTATTCTTAAACGAACATTGAATAGTAAGAAAAAAATTAGCAAAAAAGGAACTGTTATATCGGGTGTATAATAGATAGTGACGTTGTAGTGAAGGTATATATATTTCGACGATATTTTTTTAATGAGAGGTCTCTATGTAGAAGGCCCAATTTGCCCTTTTTTCTATTTTTATCGGTTTCTCGGATAATTCTTGGTTTATAGAAGCGGATGGGGGTTATGGTTCTGGAGTTTTTAAACTCCAGAACGTATTGATTTGGAGACAAGGGTATTAATGACTGAATTAGTTTGTGAAGGTTGATGGTAAGAGTTGGCATGCAAGTAAAGATTGGTATGTGTGGGTTTTCAATAAACAGAGTAATGAAAACCTTGGGTTTGGTTTTTCTTTATGATAACGTCGAGAAACGGTACGGATGAATCAGTTTCCATCTCCATCGTGAACTGGATACTGGGATGTATACCATTCAGATGGGTTTGAAAAGACACCAAAGCATCCCTGGTATGGGGCCAAATGACGAATGTATCGTCAACATATCGTAGTCAACATGTGGGTTTGAGCATTGATGTGGATAGTGCTCGGGTCTCGAAGTCTTCCATAAAGATATTGGCAATTCTGGGACATTGGCCATTTATTTGTCTGTAGATTTGATTTTGAAAGATGAAATAGGTGTTGGACATACAATGTTTAATACGAGATAAGTGGTCTTGTTGGATACTGTATTTAGATTTCAGAATGTTTTTAGAGTTTTATCTATAGGAATTTTTGTAAAGAGTGAGATCGAAACTTACTAGAATGTATGACGGTGATATAGGGTATTGTTTAAGAAGTTCGATGAAATGAAAAGAGTTTTTGACGAAGGATGAAGCATTTTCGGCGAAAGGTTATAGGGTTTTGGCCAAACATTGGCCAATGGTTGTGTAGGGCAGTTGTATGCACTGACAATGGAACATAGAGGAATATCGGGTTTGTGAATTTTAGGAAGGCCATATATTCAAGTGTTCTGGAAGACTTTTCAGATCAAAATGCCTTTCCGATGATGCAAGTAGACCCGCTGAGCGCTCTTGTTTAAAACACGCACTCAATCCAAAACGGTTCCGTAAAAATCACATAAATAGGAGCATCCACAGACATCAATCTCCCACTCAATCTCAATTAAAAAACTCAGGCCCTTATTCATACGAAAGCTTTTCTCCTTACATCAAAGGTGTCACTGACAATATCGACAAAATTTAAGAGGAATAAACATATATATATATATATATATAATATATATATATATATTATATATATATATATATATATTAAAGCTAGAGCTAATATTAATTACTATTTTAAAAATTAATATTAAACTCACCAGTCTCACTAGTCATTAGTGAAAGTAAAGTGACTAGTGAGTGTAGTAGTGTCTGGGGACTCGGGAGACTGAGAGCTCGGAAGCTCTGAAGAAGACATTAAAAAGGAAGTCGAAAGCTCGGTCCAATGGATGTCGACGCGGTTCAACCCAGACTGGTACGTTTAATATTAATTTTAATAATAGTAATAATCTTAGCTCTAGGTTTAATTGTACTAACAGCGGAGATCTTTTCGAACACATATATATATATATATATATATATATAAATATATATTATATATATATATATATATATTATATATTCATACTTCACTATTTTATCATATCACCGCTTGTGGATACTGAAAAACTCTGAGTATGGTGAAAAAGAATATGATGCTTTAGAAATTTCAGTATTGTAGCCTTGATTACTATTCAGTATTAATGTCTTGGTCAGATCTCGGTGGATGAAATAATAGCTGAAATATTGTATTTCTATTGAATGAATATTTTACCTTAAAGATTCCAGCATCACTGTCATATCCTCGTTATTCTGATCTGAAAAATATCCGGAATATATTAAAGGTTTTTCTTGGGCATTGCTGCTTCTTAACATAATTTTTCCATGAGATTTTGGATTTAGTAGAGTAGAGGCAATTTGCAGGAGTGGTCTTTCTTTGATCGCATCATTTATGTTTGCCAAGATCTCGTCTTTAAGTCCAATTGATGTGGGAAACCCAGATGTCGCATAAGTGTCATTAACGCGATATAGAAGATAGTGATGTTGCATATTTGGGTAAGGTGAGTCATTCTTTGTGTTTATGAAATCCCAGAAATTGGTGATCAGGATGGTTCCTAATACTCCTTCTTGGTGGGCAAAGTACTTATAGATCATATCCAACTGATTTTCCGTTGACTGTATTTCAGGATTTAGCTCTACGAAAAATCCGACATGCAATGCATGATCTTCTAAGTGCTCTCCAACTGGCAAATCTTTAATGAGGTCGATTTTCACTTCTTGTAGATGATCTTTGGGGCCTACACCAGACAGCATCAACAGCTGTGGCGAATTGATGGATCCACCAGAAACTATAACCTCTTTTTTAGCTTTAAGGTTTATTATTCTCTCGCCCACTTTTACTTGTACTCCAGTTGCTGATTTATTTTTTTGATCTATTATTACTTTCTGAACAAAAGAGTATAGAGCTGTCATCAAGTTTGATCTGCTTTTAACTTGGCCCAAAAAGGCTCTTCCTGTATTGAATCTAATTCCATTTTTGATACATTGGAAAGCTGTCAACGTTCCTAGAGGGTTCGCCGGGTTTTCTTCCTTTAGTTGGGGGTATTTCATTTCTTTGAACGCATCGTCTAATATTGTGACAATTGGTTGATCTAAAACAAAGGAATTAGCGTCAGTTAATTAGCGTAAAAAAATAAAATAAAAAATAATATAGAAATACAACAATGACAGAAAGGTCAAAATTACTCTCCCCTTACTACAAATACGTAAATATGCTCTAAAACGACACAAAAATATATATAGTTAATAAACCAAGGAGTGTACCCTGTGAACATTTTGAGTAATAATAAATAAACGAGATATTAAACTAGATTCACTATTCTAACAAATATATTTTGAATTTAAAAAATTATTCCAAACTAGGATAAGTATTAAAACTATCAAGACCAATTGGAGAACGATATCAGACATATTGAGCCTAAGGTAAAAAACTACGAAAGGTTTGCCAAACCTATAATAAGCTGTGCTAAATAAAGATCTGTAGGATCAATACAAACAAACCAGAAACGCAGAGGTAAATTAATAAAACTTATAGAGTCTGTGAATTCAGCAATAATCACAGTGAAGAAAAACTCTCGAAAACCTTAACTCCGCGCATGACGGAAACAGGCCCTAACATCCCGAAAACTAACTCTTAATCACTAAATCCAGAAGATATAGTAAAACGCATTGCCCTGCTCTCCAAACCAGCTATAGAAAAAGTTTACCAAAGAAAAATACGACATCAGCTTAAAAAGATCAAAACTGCACATCAACAAAGCCAATCATAAGGAAAATAGAGACTAAGAACTTTGCAACGCACTGAACTTAAGTGTCGCAAAGCTGCAGGAATTGATAACATTTTTTACGTGATTGTAAAACACACTGGTCCAAAAGCTCTAAAGTGGCTTCTAGATTTCTTCAGCCAGATAATGACAGACAAAAAAGCTCCCTAAACTATTTAAACAAAGCAAAGTCATCGCAATCTGTAAACCAGGCAAAGGCACTTCACTACCGGAAAGTTACAGAAGAATCGCCCTCTTAAGTATCTGCTATAAGATTTTTGAGAGGATAATCTGTGCGAGGCTTTTACAATTTGTCAGCGCAAAGATTTTCATAGAAGAAGCTGGATTTATGAATGGACAGATCTGCAGCGATTAAGTTATTTCTCTAACATTTATTGAAAATGACGTACAAAAGAAAATCAAATCGGCAGTTAATTTCATTGATCTGATTTGTGCTTACGACACGGTGTGGAAGGATGCCCTACTATTTAAATTGTACCATTTCATTATTATAAAAATTGTTAGCTGTTTTTTATATACGAAAATATTATTGTTGGAAATTAAAAAAAAGCGTATAGAGGAGGGAGTAATTTGCAATGCTTAGCATTGGAATCCTGAATAAAACACAAAGTAATTAGCTGCTGCCTATTACGTTTTAAAAAGTACAAGACTCAACGAGGTAAGACGTGTTGTCTACATTGTAGGCATTACTAAAGCTCAAAGTGGAATTACGATTTTATTAATTTGAATATTCTATTACCGACGATATTGTTTGAAATAATCTCCCTTGCATGTGGCGGAAAACAAAACCATCTGATAAATATTTTGCAATCGCAATTATTTATTTTTATCGGGCTATTTTATTTTAAGATTTTCCCTGTAGAAGTGATAGTACACTAATTTTTGCACGATTTGGCAAATTCTTTATAGTTTGTAAGTTATCATTTTTAGCCACATACAAACAGTTTGTCTTCATTTTAAACGCCTTTTTTAAATTTCAGCAGTAATAGACAACATTTTAGTAATTCATATTTTATTTGATCGTGTGAGGAAAGTGCATTTAACTGTCGTTGTAATATTTCTTCGTAATTTTATCCTATTACGAACAATACGTTTGGTTAGCCGATGGTAGCACTATGGGTTAACGATTTTTTTTGCTTCATATTACTTTCCGTAAATTGGAAAATGTTGGAACACCTGAAGCGCCAGTAATTACGTCAACCAAATCAACATAAACAGAAAAGGAACTAAACGAAGGTGTAATGAGAGTTAATCATAGAAAAACTCCAAGAAACTTGTGACTGTGACAACTTTGGCAGGTTCATATCATTCATAATTTTATTGCAGAATTATTGAAACTGCTTTACGAATTGGAAATCGAAACATCAAAACAAATGTAAAATTACAATCAATTTAGTCCAGTCTAGTTAGACAAAAAAAGGCCTAAGCTTGACGGCGAGCTTCCCCAAATTTTATTATTCTAGCTTTTAGGGGGAATCAATAGTAGTACATTCAAATTCGCGACCGAATCCAACCGTTGCGTTGGCCGCCATATTGAATTTGAAAATGAAAACGGAGAACCAAACTTTTCGACAAAAATGTTACGGACTGAAATTGTTGCAAATGCGATTTCCTACAATGTCTATTTTACAAATTTTTGCAGCCGATATTTTCTGAGTTAAATGGGAAAATAGTGGTAGGAGAGGAAACATTATTATCGAATTATCTCGTTTATCTCGTTTAACTTTATGATATGACTGTACGTAAATAAAAATGGAGAAAATGATATATTTGTGCAATTTCGGTCTCTTAATTTTTTTTAATAAAAATAATATTTAAGGTCGTGCGTATGCGGTAAAGGCGCGAGCGTAAGACCTGGCGGAGATTGGTTTTATAGGATTTGATTTTGTTCTATATCTCAGCCATTTTCAACTTTTCGACGTAAATTGATACAATTAGGTTTTCTACTATTTCTTCTTTGCAAATTTTTTCATGCAGTCGATATTTTTTGACTTAAGTGGGAAAATAGTGGCCAAGTATAATCATTTAATTTCCTCTTTTGTTATTAACTTTACCAACATGAATGTAAATAAAAAAATGGAGAGAATTATATTTTAAACAATTATGATCTCGTTCATTTTTTGCTGAAATAAATATTTAAGGTACTTAGCCTAACGAACCCTAGACGGCAGCATCATCAGCAGCGAGCCATAAACTGGAAGAACCAATGACTTCAAATATTGATTTTAGCAAAAGAAATTGTATAAAATATAATTCTCTTCCCTGCTTGTGTACATTCATGTCGTAAAGCTAATAATAAACGAGATAATTCGATAATTATGCTTCTCTCTTCCTTAGAATAGTAAGAAGAATAAAATAAGTTAGAATAATAAAATTTGGGATCCTCCACTTCTGATTCGAGCTTTCCGTAGCTAGATAATGTGATGCCTACATATTTAAACTCCATCACTTGTTTTATTATCTGAACTTCCAACTCCAATTTACGTCTTACTAAATTTGCTATGGTAACCATGCATTCTGTCTTTTTTGGGGAAATTAACATGTTAAATTTTCTGACGGTTATATTAAATTTGTGCAGCATACGTTGTAAATGGTCTTCAATTTAAGAGAGTAGTATTGCGTCGTCTGCATAGCAGATTATTTTAAGTTGTTTTTCTCCCATTTGTTATCCTTTTTTAATTCTTACTTTTTTTATTAAATTATCCATAATCAGGTTTGAACAATAGAAGACTCTTGGAAATCTATCAAAAGACTGATATTTTTTTTGCACACACTTATGACAAGTCAAAAAAAGGTAAAAAGTATTTTTGAAGTGTGTTCTAGTCAAAAAAAGGTAAAAAGTGTGTGAAGTGTGTATATTTTAAAAAATATACACACTTCAAAAATACTTTTTTACCTTTTTTTGTCTTGGAAATCTCCCTGTTTTATTTCATTGCCAGCTTCAATAGGGTCAGTTAGTTCTTCTACTTTTACTTTTATTGTGTTGTTTTGGTAGATATGACAATCTCAATTCAGTTACAAAACTAAAACGATAGTAATCAGTAAAGAAGCAATCAGATGTAAAATAGAAATCGATGGCATCAGTATTGAACAAGTAATGGAAATAAAATACTTTAAGCTTTATAGCTGTCTCCATAGCTGTCCCGCTGTGGAGACATGAACAAAGCGAGAGATCAAGTACAAAAAGTAAAAAGATTAATAACACTAAGTAGCGAAACCGACAAATTAATACCGAGTGAAGCCAGTTTATACAAACAATTTATAAAGCCAGTTTAAGACCAATAATGCCACATGCCCCAACACAAAGACTGCTGAAAACAGCGGATATCAGCATACTGAGAAGAATTACATGAAATATGCTGAGAGATCCAAAGAGAAAACGAAGAAAATGTAACGTACAGTGTATAAACGAATGAACCCTAAACAGAAAAAAATAATAGAATAATCACATAAGCAGAATGGGGGAGACCCGTGTTGTCAAAATAGTAAGAGATAAATCACCAATAGGTAGAATAATGCCAATGAACAAACATAAAATAACATACATGTTTATAAAGAGAAAGAAGAAAAATGTGTCAATGAACTGTCAAATTTAAAAATTCAAAGATGTCAATACTCTTGGGAGTTTCTGTTTTATATATAATAAAAAAATGTAAGTATTTTTGATGACGTTAAGTTTTAAAAATAAAGTCGCTTTGTCATATACAGGGTGATCCTTAAGTAATTGTACAAAAAGAAACCGTAGATTCTACATCTTAAAATATTACGATTTAAGTCAAGTTGCTTTAATAAAATGTTGAAATTAAGAAAGATACAGGGTGTTAAAGCGGAAATTTAAATTTTTATTTTTCGCTATAACTTTCATGTTTGTCAACATTTATGTATAAAAATTTACAACTGAGTACTAATAAGTATCAGAAATTATACTTTGATGTACACTTTGATGTAGCTGATAGAGGGCGCCACATATGCCATATATGTGGTATACATTTGCACTTAACTTTTTTGTTCATCTAGTTACCGGTATTTTTAATAAAAAGTATTAAAAATATATTATTTTAACAAAAAAAAGGTATACCTGTCAATATCTTCAAAACCCAACAGATTTCGAGATAATCGCATTTTAGAAATCAACTACATAATTCTGATTTATCGCAATTACTCCAGGCAACGAAATAAAATTAAAGAAAAACATCAATACTTCTGAATTTTGCTATAAAATATCTTTTATAAAGTTAATAGTTAACGAATTATTAAATAAAATAAATATATCAGCAGCATAAAATAATAGGATTTGATAAATAATAGAATAATTGGATTTTACATCAAACATTTTACGTTTTGTATTAAATTAAACTCATAATCAAACTATTTTATTTACAAAACAAATTAATAAATAGTTAAACAAAATAACATTAAACTTTTTTTTAAAGTAACTGTTCAATATGTCCACCATTTTCTTTAATTCATTTGTCAATACATTCCATAAACTATCGTCTCATATTAAATAGCATCATTGGTTATAAAGGAACTGCTGTAGTATTTATTGTTATAAGTATAATAATAAGTAATTTTTTGAAATTTTTATGATTAAATAATTATATTAATATCTCACTACAAGAATACGACTACCACGAACAATCCAACGTTCAGGAAATATGTTTTTAAATACTGTCTCAATCCGCTTTCTCTGTAATATAATGGTGTACTATCTTGTAGAAACCACATATTTCGCCTTAAGTTTGATGACAATTCTTCCAATAAATCAATAAAATAATTTTATAAAAAATGTAAATAAATCTTGACATTCAAATTGCAAGGTAATTCGCATATCCGTAAAAAATAATTACCAATGGTTCCAAATCATAGAACATGCATTTTAAATATGAATTTTAAATGATATTTTACGGATGTGCGAATTACTTTGCAATTTAAATGGTGAGATTTATTTACATTTGTTATAAAATGATTGTATTGATTTATTGGAAGAATTGTCATCAAACTTAAGGCTAAATATGTGGTTTATACAAGATGGTAGACCAATACGTTACAGAGAAAGGGGAGTAAAAACAATATTTAAAAAACAACTTTCCTGAACGTTGGATAGTTCGTGGTAGTCATATTCCTTGGTCATGTAGTGAGAGATTAATATAATTATTTAATTCATAAAAATCCCAGAAGAATATCTATTATTATACTTATACTTATATACAAAATAATGTATCTTTAATATTTTTTATCAAAAATATCGATAACTTGAAGAACAAAAAAGTTAAGTGCAAAGGTATGCCACGTATGTGGCATATGTGGCGGCCTCTATTAGCTATATCAAAGTATGCATCAAATTATAATTCCTGACATTCAATAATAACCAGTTGCAAATTTTTATACATAAATGTTTACAAACATGAAAGTTATAGTGAAAAATAAAATTTTAAATTTCTACTTTAACACCCTGTATCTTTTTTAATATCAACATTTTATTAAAGCAAGTTGGCTTAAATCGTAATATTTTAAAGTGTAGAATCTGCGGTTTCTTTTTGTACAATTTCTGAAGGACCAGCCTGTATAAAAATAAATCGAAATATGTAACTTGTTTCTGGGTAAAGGTTGTAATATGTCGCTAACAATATTAGCTGATAAGAGATAATAATAATACGTAGCTTTGTTTTAAACTTCTCAATTTAGGTCAGAGAGAGATAGAGAGTTAAACTAATGTGATAACAAAATTATAGGACAAATGCACACCGCATATCTTTTAATTATATATATATATATATATATATATATATATATATATATATATATATATATATATATATATATATACAATACTCCAATATTTGGGTGTGCAGCGGAAGATGGGACAAAGAAGTACTCTTTTTAGTTAACCAAGCTTTCGCAAATCTTTATTTGCATCATCAGGGTGCTACAATAAACATATATATATATATATATATATATATATATATATATATATATATATATATATATATATATATATATATATTATATATATGTTTGAGTTTAGTTCTTGAACCTTAATATATATATATATATATATATATATATATATAATATATATATATATATATATATATATTATATATATATATTTATATATATATATATATATTTTTAGTGGATTCTCTTGGGCTTAGGTTCATAAAAAAGAAATTTAGTTTGATACTAAGACATTTTTATATATATTTTTTCCGACGTTTCGGCAGGAAATCCATGCCTTTTTCAAGAATATATATTGACTAAAAAAAAAACATTCTATGACAGACATAATATGGTTTAAAAAATAAACTTTTGACTTACCAAGCATGTAAAGATTTGGTGTTAACAATTAGACGTCACAATTAAAATAATATTTAAAACATAGGACATACCCACTAAGTCACTAAAAGTAAAATGTATTTTAAATCTAATGTGTTGTTTATTGATGTTAGCTTATCGTTTAAACAATTAGTTATTTTAACATCATAGGCGTTCTGAGATTGACTTATGTATATTTAAATTAAGTTAAAATATATTTTGTTCAAATTTTTGACATCTTTTTTATCATTTATTGCGTTATTATTTTTTTTTATTTGTATAGACTCTAGAAGCTCTCTCTTCTTCCTGTTGGCTTCACTTTTTAGGATCTTGGTTTGCTCAAAATCAAATTTATGTTTTTTTTCGTTTTCATGTTTTGTGATGGAGTTTATATTGTGATGGGTTTATATTGACAAACCAGTCAACTACTTAATTCAAGAATACGTTCCACAAATATGACAAAAAAAACTCAACCGCCCTCACAAAACATGAAAACGAAAAAAAAACATAAATTTGATTTTGAGCAAACCAAGATCCTAAAAAGTGAACCCAACAGGAAGAAGAGAGAGCTTCTAGAGTCTATACAAATAAAAAAAATAATAACGCAATAAATGATAAAAAAGATGTCAAAAATTTGAACAAAATATATTTTAACTTAATTTAAATATACATAAGTCAATCTCAGAACGCCTATGATGTTAAAATAATTGATTGTTTTAAACGATAAGCTAACATCAATAAACAACACATTAGATTTAAATACATTTTACTTTTAGTGACTTAGTGGGTATGTCCTATGTTTTAATATTATTTTAATTGTGACGTCTAATTGTTAACACCAAATCTTTACATGCTTGGTAAGTCAAAAGTTTATTTTTTAAACCATATTATGTCTGTCATAGAATGTTTTTTTTTAGTCAATATATATTCTTGAAAAAGGCATGGATTTCCTGCCGAAACGTCGGAAAAAATATATATAAAAATGTCTTAGTATCAAACTAAATTTCTTTTTTATGAACCTAAGCCCAAGAGAATCCACTAAAAATATATATATATATATATATATATATATATATATATATATATATATATTATACAGTTTGTTTTTATGATAGGTATAAATATTAAAGCATAATTAAAATTTACAAAGATATTTTAATTCGTAATGACTGATTTTGATTTTTATTATTCCGAATTCTTCGCTTATCCGGCTTACTGTTCTGTGGAGTTAATCATTTCTTCATTCGCTGCTAGTATAAGTGTGTCATCTGAGTATCGCAGGTTACTGATTTTTCAAGAATTATCTGCATATAACATAAAATTTATGTTATTTTTTTTTTAGATTTTTAAAAAACTTATGTTATTAAGGCATTTAAACGGCAATAATAGGCATTTTAATTGATATAACAACGGTAAACATTGAAAGCAAAGTGTTTTTTTTTAAGAAAAGATACAATACACACCTGAAGGATATCTATTTAGCGTCATATAACCATCTCTTCCATACTGATCACTAACTCCTTGAACTTGCATATTTTCTAGTTTCTTAAAATATTCTTTTACAGTGTCCCAACCCCATCCCGTATTCCCCAATTCTTCCCAGGTATCGTAATCTCTTTTATTTCCTTTGACGTACATCATGGCATTTAAAATACTGCTGCCCCCGAGAGCTTTTCCCCTTGGCCATATACACTGCTCGTTCTTGAATCCTAGGCAAGACAGTGGAGAGGGTTCCGTTCGATATTGCCAGTCTTCTTCGTGTCCTGAAGCACTAAATAGAAGTGCTGGTATCTAAAAAAAACAGTATGAGCCAAAAAGCAGTTCAAAAGTTCTTTATTAGAAGCATGTTAAATTTGTGATTAAAGAGAAGAAAAAGGATGAGAAACTAATAATTAAATGATAAAAAAATAATTGAAAGAAGACAAAGAAGTTAGGATTGTATGAAAATTCTTTGAATTTAAAATTTTAACGGACCCAAAGCGTTCAAATAACGTGTTGTCAACAGAGAAAGAAACGAAAAAGCAACAGAAAGAATAGAAGAAGAAGAGGAACTAGGACTGAAAAGGCGAGGAGAGCACAAACTGGGGTTAACACACACCCAGTAGTGCATAGTGAAAGAGGCATAGTGCCTTAAACGAGGTTTTATAACATTAATATCCGGAAAAAATATTTTGTTTTGTAAATAACTGGCACATTTTTTCCTGCATTATTTATTTTACAGGGTTCATTCACTTAGAGATTTTCGGATTTTCTAAAAATGTTCCATTAAATTTATTAACAAACTGTATATTCGTAATGTACGCAAAGAGTACATACTAAATACAAAAAGAAACATCAAAATCCATCAACAAGAACTGGAGATATTTTTTTATAGCTCGAGTTTGAAGATCATTTTTTTTTATATGGTCGATTTGAAAATAGGATCCAGATTCGTCCAGAGTACGAGAACTTGTTTTAAAATTGCGAGTTTGACGAATATCAAAAATAATTTTTTTCTATTCAATAACAAAAAAGTTGCAATGTTTTAGCAATCAATAAAAACGTAAGAAGTTTATACCAATCAGGCAAACTGGATAACGCTGTGTCGGAAATGTGCAAAATGAAAATTGACATACTGGGCCTTGCGATATACAATGGCCTGAATCAGGAAAATGTAACACCAGAATTTGAACAATGTATTATTCTGGAAACAACGACTCCAAGCACAAACAGGGAGTTGGCATTATAGATTATAGTTGATAAGAATTCTCAGAAAGCTGTTTGTAACTTTGTTCCCTACTCTGATCGTGTATTAATGCTGTCTCTAAACTCTCATTTAAAACGTAAAATAAATATAATCCAAGTATATGCACCCACTGCAGCCAAGGATGAAGACACCATAGAGGCCTTCTATAAACAAATCTACAATGTCTTAAGGCTAACTAAAAGACAAGATATACATATTATAATGGGTGATTTGAACGCTAAAGTAGGCCAAGGAGAAATGGAGAATTGCGTGAGGCGATATGGACTCGGGGAAAGGAATGAACGTGGCGATAGGCTTGTCGATTTCTGTGTCATTGAGGAACTCATAATTACAAATACCTTGTTCAAACTTCCTAAACGTAGACTATATACATGGAGGTCACCAGCTGACAATAACAACAAAATAGTTAGAAATCAGATGGATGATATTATCGTCAACAGAAGATATAGAAATTCTATAATATCATCTAAAACTTATCCAGGAGCGGACATATCCTCCGATCACAACCCGGTTGTTTTGTTGATGAGTCAAACTAAAGAAGGTCAACAGCCTTAACACCAAGAAAATCATGGATACAAGACGTCTCAAATAAGACAACACATATGCGGAAACGAAATTTAAAATAAACGAGAACTTAAGGAAAGTCAAAGAAGATAATGCGGGAACTCTAACTATTGACCAAAAATGTGGAAAAATTCAACATGCCCTTGTGTCAGTTGGAAAAGAAACCCTCAAGCCACTTGGAGAAAAAACAAAACTTTGGATGACAATAGAACTTCTTGAACTTGTGGAAGAACGAAGAAAACATAAAGCAAAAGACCTGAATAAATATAAAGAAATTAAGAGAAACATCAGAAAGAAAATTCGAGAGGTAAATAGAGAGGTGGCTCTTCGACAGATGCAAGGAAATAAAGGATCTGGATAAAAAGTATGATAGCTTTAATTTACACAAAAAAATCAAAGAAATGACTGGTTCTAGAAAACGTACAAGAACGATATCCTTAAAAATGATAAAGGGGATATTATTACTGATCTGAAAGGAGAGATTATGTCACTGAACCAATTACATCCAACAACTATTTAAATTTAAAAACTATTTAATGATGAAAGAGAAGAACTGTCATTAGAAATCACCGAGGGTACCAGACCACCAATATTATGAGAAGAAGTCATCTATGCCATCAAAAACACAAAAGAGGGTAAAGCTACTGGACCAGATGATGTGCCCATCGAATTATTAAAACTCATCGATGAAGATGTTATTGATGTAATGGTTGAACTCTTTAATCTAATATATCAGATTGCCACAATCCCCAGAAAATGGCTGCAATCGACCTTTGTAGCAATTCCCAAAAACCAAGTGCAACAACTTGCTCAGATTACAGAACAATAGCTTTATTGAGTCACACACTTAAAACACTTTTGAAAATAATTCACAGCAGAATTATTAAAACTCTTAAATATAAAATTAGTGACACACAATTTGGCTTTAGAAATGGTATGAGTACAAGAGATGCTTTGTTCGGCTTGAATGTGCTGGCTCAGAGATGCATGGACATCAATCAGGACATGCACTTAAGTTTTGTAGACTTTGAAAAGGCATTTGATAATGTTCAATATAAAAAGCTTGTAGATATATTAAAAAACAAAGATATTGACAGTCGTGATATGAAAATTATATCTAATTTATATTGGAATCAAACTGCCAGTACACCCAAAATAGCAAAATACAGAGAGAAGTCCGAGAGAAAACTAAATGCATGATCTTGACTTAATCTGCACATGTAAATATCCAATTGATTATTGAAGATACTGCAATTGAGAGTGTTAATAACTATAAGTAATTAGGAACATGGATAACATTAGTTGTAGACCAAACCAAACGAAATAGCACGTGCATCATTCATTAAACTTAAAAAGTTTCTTTGTTGTCGGGATATAAGGTTAGGATTACGCCTGAGAATGCTTCGATGTTACGTATTCTCTACTCTTCTTTATGGCTTGGAAACGTGGACACTAAAACAAGTCCATCTGAATAAGTTGGCCGCCTTTGAATTTTGGTGTTACAGAAGAATCCTATGAATATCATGGATTCAAAGAATATCAAACGTGGAAGTAACTAGAAGGATAGGAAATGAGGCGGAAATAATATTAACTATCAAAAGACGAAACTTAAGTACTTAGGACATGTGATGAGAGGGCAAAAATACGCATTATTACAACTTATTATGCAAGGCAAAATCCGAGGAAAGCGAAATGTGCGAAGACGAAGAATATCCTGGCTTAAGAACTTAAGGAAATGGTTTGAATGCAGTAGGGCAGAACTTTTAGACTGGCAGTCAACAGAGTCCACATAGCCATGATGATTTCCAACCTTCGATAGAAGATGGAACTTCTAAATTATTTTAACCACATTTTTAATACTACAATATCCAACTTTCTACACAATATTAATATTGTAGAATTATTTTTAAAATACTTAATAACAGTAATTGAAAATTAGGAACTCTTAGGCTTTTTACAGTTATCTAAGTAAGAAACTGGTAAATGAACATTCATAAATCGCCATTTTAAATCTTTAAATGTGTTTTATCAAATAATTTCTTCCAAATCTGTTCAAACTGCTTTGGTAGACGAAAGTTCTTAAAATGGTGCATTTTGGCCTTAAAGTGTTAACCATTTAAAAAGTCCAATAAACCCACTGGATGAAACATAGAGGTGTCAGCTATCGAGGTCTATAAAACTCAAAAAACTTGTCAGATAACTGTCCGGGTCAAAGTTCTCAAATAGGATACTTTTTTTAACTTATTTCTCTGGACTATTACTGAAAAAAAAACTAAAACACGGAAGAATTTACCAAAATTGTTGCCGATCTTCTAGAGAAGGCACTTGAAGAAGATGATAATTGAACAAAGAGGAGTTTCCACAAAGATGAAACTAATTCTACATGATTATACTGATCTATATTTAACGACAAGAAACAAAGAATGTAAGGATAATTTTTAAAATTTAACAAATAACTGTAAAACTAAATTTGTTTGAATTTATGTAAGTCAAAAAACGTAAAATTGTTAACCTTCAATAAAGTATTTACCGTAATTAATAACACCGTTTTACTGAAACATCCCAAAAAATATAGTGTTAAATAAAACTACAATATTCTATATTTATTTTAGTTTAAAAAACTATGTGTTTTAGGTAGCTGGTTTTAGGCCAAAAAAATTAGATACCGTAATGTCTTTAACACAATAATTGAATCCTGTACTTACATCACTAGTTGCTGATGGATAACCTCCAGCTTCCAGTACCAACACTTTCCAGTTGGGATTTTCACTTAGCTTATTCGCTACCACTGCTCCAGCTGACCCAGAACCTACCACTATAAAGTCAAATTCATCTCCGTCTTTCAATCTGGGCGCATAGTCTTCTGTATAGTCGTTAGTGTTAGCTAACTTGCACTTGGAACTCATTAAACTGTTCAACAAAGTCAGAAAAAAATATCCTGACATACCCTGTAGGTTTCCAGGACATGTGTCCTGCAAAAGAGACCCGATATCCATCGTTAGCTTCTGTGCCTTTATTTTCTAAACTAAATAGTTGTCTGTTCACTTGTCTTTTGATAAAAAATACCGGTCTTTTTGTATGGAAAGGTAGTTTGCCTAAGTAGCTAGTACTGACTAATGCGATCTTAATTATAAAATGTTTTAAATGTTTGTTAAATGGTTGGCTATTTAAATTTCTTTTGTAATTTTTGATAAATAACGATAAGAAATTATAGGCTAGGTGTTGAACATTTTCGGTATCGTTTTCAAAAAAATGTAATTATTAGAATTTATTTTTTAAAATGTTCTACACATTTCTTTGTCTGGCCACTCTTATCCAGATGCCTTATGTTTTCTGATTGCAGTCTCACATATGTCTATTTTTTATTTATATTTTATGTCCCATCATATTGATTACTTTATCAACATAGCATTCATGGTACTAGTTTTGTTCTATATTTTTTATAGTATAGTTTCGAAGCACATTATAGAATTGCGGTTATTATATTACAAATCTTTCCACAAAGCCTTTCACAAAGCCTTTCACTTTGATCCTATTTTAATAAAACCTTGATCGATATTGCCCCCACTTGTTACTTCAGTCAAAATATTTGTCTTTATTTTCAATTTCTGATCCTACTTTTGTCCCTATTGCTTAGTATTGTTATCTTGTGGCTCCATCGCTTTCTTTGTATTAATATTGATCTCCTTCTTTTTCGGAAATTATTAGTCGCTCTTATTTCTGTTTTGCTTTCGCCCATATTTGCAGTTCATCATCATCATCATCTGCCTGTTTTAGGTCCACTGCAGGACGTAGACCTCCCCTGTTTGTATCCAGAGTGGACGATCTTGTGCAGTATGGATCCAATTTTTCGTGATCTTTCGCAGTTCATCTTGCCATAATGTAGGTGGTCTTCCTCAGTTTCGTTTATCTGTCCTTGGTGTCAATTGGGTTAACTTGCGTGTTCACCTTCCATCCTTCATTCTTGCTATGTGGCCAGCCCATCTCCATTTTAATCTGCAAGCTCTTTCCGCATCTGTAACTTTGCTTGTTTTTCGTAAGTCTTCCTTTATGATCTAGTCTTTTATTGTTCCTCTTATCATTGAATACTCCATCCTTTTATGTACTACTCTTAGTTTTAAAGCATTGTTGAAAAGAAATTTGTTAGTAAACATATTTATAAACAAGAATACAGTTATTACATTTGCAGAAGAAAAGGTTCATAAAAATTTATAAAAGCAGGTGTTTAAGTGTTTCAGTTCAGGGAAGTCCATAAAGTCTGTAACTGTTTATACGCAAGGGAATAAAAGGTTTGTTAATGTTTATACACAAGACCCAACACAGCACAGTAGCTTTCGGTGGTTATCTTTTTCTTCTGTAGGTACCGTCTTCGATCGAAACACATTCGCCTTCGACAAAGTCGTCCTCCTCTCGACCATCAGGAACCCATTATCATTTGCTAGTCGGTTTTTCTTAGTAGGGGGTATGCCTGTGCCTATGTAGCGTTCGTACCATTTGCAGTAGGGTAGGGAGTGACTCCGCCGCTACTCCGGGGGCCTCAGTAACTTCTGGGACTGGTGACTTCAGAGACTTCTCGTTCGCCGAAATATCCGGCACTTGGCAGTGCCAGAAACTGACGGTATATGTAATTAGCTGCTGGTGTGGAGCTTGTACGGTATCTCAGTGGTAACCTGGGTCTCACCATCGATTTGTATGTTGGGTGCCATATCACCAAGAGGCAAGGAAGGGCCTGGAATACTATGGCCACTTATCCATTCCCACGATGCTTTACAGAGAGATTTCAACCAACCAATTCAAAGTGCCCTTTACGTAGATTCCATCTTTGGTGGATTGTCATTAATTGTTACATCGGTAATGAAATAAAAACACATTTTTAAATGTGAAAATATCCAGCCAAGAGCCTAAGTTCATAGAACGGGAGCAGCGCCCCGGCAGAGGGCTCGCAGGGTATAGATGACCCTGTATTGGAGTCGGAGCTAGACTGGTCAGTGAAAATGTCCCATATTTATACATTTTCTTTTGTCTCGATATGGGCATTTTCAGGTGAGTTGGTCAATAGTGAAAATTGTAGAGGTTTTGAGGCACGACGATGCGCATCGGGGTGCGTCATAGTGCAAGACAATACATTCACACAAATAAACTCGTTTATTCTAATGACTCAAACGCTGTTCACGAATTTCCGACTTTGTCCTTAAAACCAGTTGGCGATTCTAACAGTAGATTTCGTAGCAAGACAGGTAGACGTGTATACTGTTATGAAATATTTACAACCCCAACAATTATAAAGTAGAAATTTAACACTATACAGTGTGGACAAACAATCAGATGAACATTGAATCCAAATATAAACCATTTACATAAACATGCACTAATATTTTATCATTTTTGTCTGGGTTACATATAATCTGATTAAAATATTTTGCTTTCTTTACTCTACGTTGATCCTTTTTGATATCTATCTATCTAATTAACCTTCTTTGGTCCATCTTTGGACATAGCCTCCCAATCCTTTTCCATTCTTCTCTGTCTGCCGCTACAGTGATCCACCTAGAGTCCACGTGCTTCTTGATATCATCTACCCATCTCATTTGGGGCCTTCCTCTGCTTCGTTTATATTCCCACGGTCTACAAGTTATAAGAATTTTGTTCCATCGGTCTTCTGTTCGTCTTATATTGTGTCCGGCAAATCTCCATTTCAATTTTGCAACTTCTTGTCTAACATTGTTCTGAAGCTATTTTCTTGTGGCATTTTAAATTAATTACTATTTAACTGGGAATAAGCCACAATTAAAGATAAAAATACGTTTATTGACGTTTCAATTTCCATTTCGGAAATCGTTCTCAAAATACAAACGATTTGTATTTTGAGAACGATTTTCGAAGTGGAAATTGAAACGTCATTAAAGTATTTTTATCTTTAATTGTGGCTTATTTCCAGTTAAATAGTAATTAATTCTTGTCTAACATCCCTCACTT